TTTCAGGGTCTTCGGACCTTTCACCACTTCAGGACCATTCAGATTTTCAGACTGCCCAAAACTCTCACTTCGGAATTTTCATTCTTGAATTTTCAGCTACCCGATAACCGCTTGTGCTATGTGAGTGAAAAGCATGAGCTAGACTAGATCAAAACACAAGATTGAAGCATGAGATCAACCAAGGAAGAATCGGGACATCACCTACTACTATGTGAGTGAAAAGCATGAGCTAGACTAGATCAAAACACAAGATTGAAGCATGAGATCAACCAAGGAAGAATCGGGACATCACCAACTACCATGTCAGTGAAAAGCATGAGCTAAACTAGATCAAAACACAAGATTGAAGCATGAGATCAACCAAGCAAGAATCGGGACATCACCAACTACCATGTGAGAGAAAAGCATGAGCTAGACTAGATCAAAACACAAGATTGAAGCATGAAATCAACCAAGGAAGAATCGGGACATCACCTACTACTATGTGAGTGAAAAGCATGAGCTAGACTAGATCAAAACACAAGATTGAAACATGATATCGACCAAGGAAGAATCGGGACACCACCAACTACCATGTGAGTGGAAAGCATCATGCTTTTCACTCACATGGTAGTTGGTGATGTCCCGATTCTTCCTTGGTTGATCTCATGCTTCAATCATGTGCTTTGATCTTGTCTAGCTCATGATTTCACTCACATAGTAGTTAATGATGTTCCGGGTCTCACTTAGTTGTTCAACTGCCCATGTGCTTGTGCTTCCATCTCACCTTGTCAAGTTCATACTCTTAGTTCTCACCTTGCTGTTCAACTTCCCATGTGCTCATGCTTTCTCTCTCACGTGTTAAGTCCATGCCTTGGTAGTGTTCCGGTCCTTGCTTAGCTGTGCAATTTTCCATGTGCTTGTGCTTTCATTCTCACCTTGTCATGTTCATACTCTTAGTAGTGTTCCGGTTCTCACCTTGCTGTCAAACTTCCCATGTGCTCATACTTTCTATCTCGCTTGTCAAATTCATGCCTTAGTAACATTCTGGTTCTCACTTTGTTGTTCAACTTTCCATGTGCTTGTGCTTTCTCTCTCACTTGTCAAGTCCATGACTTAGTAGTGTTTCGGTCCTCACTTGGTTGTTCAACTTCTCGTGTGTATGTGCTTTCTCTCATCCTGTCAAGTTCATACTCTTGGTAGTGTTCCGGTTCTCATTTGGTTGTTCAACTTCTCATGTGTATGTGCTTTTTTTCACCTTGTTAAGTTCATACTCTTGGTAGTGTTCCGGTTCTCATTTAGTTGTTCAACGTCTCATATGTATGTGCTTTCCCTCATCTTGTCAAGTTGATACTCTTGGAAGTGTTCCGGTTCTCAATTAGCTGTTCAACTTCTCATGTGTATGTGTTTTCACTGCTCTCACTCTCATCTTGTCAAGTTCATGCTCTTGGTAGTATTCCGGTTCTTACTTGGCTGTTCAACTTCCCATGTGCTTGTGCTTTCACTCTCTCTTGTCAAGTTCATGCTCTTGGTAGTGTTYCGGTTCTTACTTGGCTGTTCAACTTCCCATGTGCTTGAGCTTTCACTCTCACTTGTCAAGTTCATGCTCTTAGTAGTGGTCCGGTTCTCTCTTGGCTGTTCAAGCTTCTCATGTGTAGGTGCTTTCACTCTCACTTGTCAAGTTCGTGCTCCTAGTAGTGTTCCGGTTCTCTCTTGGTTGTTCAAGCTTCTCATGTGTAGGTGCTTTCATTGCTTTCACTCTCACTTGTCAAGTTCATGCTCTTAGTAATGTTTCGGTTCTCCCTTGGTTGTTCAAACTTCTCATGTGTAGGTGCTTTCACCACTCTCACCCTCATCTTGTCAAGTTCATACTCTTGGTAGTGTGTCGGTTCTCATTTGGTTGTTCAACTTCTCATGTGTTGAGCTTTCACTACTCTCACTCTCACTTGCCGAGTTCATGTGTGTAGGTAGTGTTCTGTTTCACACTTGGTTGCTCTTTCACTCATGTGTATGTGCTTTCATCAGTTCAACCTTCACTTTGTCAAGTTCATGCTTGTGATAGTGTTCCGTTTCACACTTGGTTGCTCTTTCACTCATGTGCATGTGCTTTCCCTAGTTCAACCTTCGCTTGGTCTAGTTCATATGCATGACAGTGTTCTGTTTCCCACTTGGTTGCTCTCCCACTCAGGTGCATGTGTGCTCACTAGTGCAACCTTCACCTTGTCAAGTTCATATGTGCGGTAGTGTTCCGCCTTACTTGGTTGCTCTTCGACTTGGGTGACCGACATTTGGTTGTTACTGTTGTGGGATGGGTGACCGACATTTGGCTGCTACTATTGAACGATGATTTGATTAGGACTAGTTGTCTCTTTCTCTCCCTCTCTCTTTCTCTTTCACTAGCCCGTTCTCTCTCTCTCTCTCTCTCTCTCTCTCTCTCTCTCTCTCTCTCTCTCTCTCTCTCT